TCCATTTTTTTCACTAAGAAATTTTTGAAATCGAAGTAAATTTTTTATTTTTTGTTATTTAAGATCTTGAGTTTAAGCAAAATTTTTTTTAAAAATGACTTGAAAAATTTTCAGAAATTATAATTTCAAATTTAGTTTTTATATCAATTTTTCAATAAAAATGGTTTGCTTGGAACTAAAAGATTTCAATGAAAACAAAAAATAGTTTTTGATTGAAAACGTCGCTACAAAAAGCTTGAAGTTTGAATTATCTTTCGATAATTTTTTGGCAAATGTTCTGTTATAATGACTAGTGGACACATCAATATAATCAACTGCGCATCTTAATTTCAATCACAGGTCTCAAATTTATTCAATGATTTGGAAATATAAAGTCTGGTTTGTTTTTTTTTTCGCGACGGTTGGTTTTGTTACAGGTCGGGTCTTATTTGGCATGTTGTTTTGAATCTGAACGAAATTGAATGTTGGTTCATTAAAATCTTGTCAAAAATCCAAAAATTAACACAGAAATTGAATAAATAGAAAAATTGTTTAATTAAATTACATCAAAGTTCTGTTGAAATTGCCTGGCAAGCAAACATGTTATAACATCACTCCGAGCGAATTAAATTGTCCTCAACGCTAGTTTTTCTGTCAGGGTAAGTGTCGTTAAATCGGAGAAAAAATTGTTTGTCCCGTAACAACTTTTTTTTACTAAAGACATTAGTACCATGTAATTGATTAGGCTCTTCCCCATTTGGTCTTAACGTAAGGCAATTGTTTTTCCCAGAGGTCTTATTTTTTGCAGATCTTGATTTTTTCAGTAGGTATGAGAAATTTTTTTTTGTTCAACTCGATTTTAATTTGCTCTCCTGTTTTCGTCGCTTATTTTAACGAAGCATGTTTTGTTTGATAGCAACAATTCTTACAATTAGTGAAGATCATCACTCGTTCTGTTTTTTTTGGTCAAATTAACCGCTCGAAAATGATAACATTTTGCTATCGTTTTTTTTTCATTGGCTTATCAACTTTTTTTGTTTAGTTTGAGCAGCAAAAAATGATTGTTCTTAAGTATGCCTCATGTCAGTTCGGGTGTGTAAGCTTAAGTTTTGAAAATAATTGAGTAAAATGTTATGTCAATAGTTTCTGATAAAGTTTTTTTTTGTTGTCGTCTCAGTGGATTTTTATTTTTGCTCGAATTGCTTATTGGTCGCACAGTGCATAATAAAATTAAAAATTTGATGTTGGTTGCTGTTTCACGACTGTTTTTTTGAAATATAAATTTTCAAGTTTTTTCAATTTTTTTTTCAAAATTTTTTTTGTGCGTTAAATATCTCCATCTGTTCTTTTCCCTCTAGTTTGCAATGCTATAATTGCTTTGTATGACCCAACATCACCTCTGTGTTGCTGATTAAAATTGCTGAAGCATGTTTCATGCAAATTATTTACGCTTGCTGTAGCGTAGAATCAAGAAAGTTTTCAAGATTCATTCAATAGTTTGCCTGAACTAGTTCGAAATAATTTATCAAAAAACTTGAGACGGCAAAAAAACAGCGACTTGAGACTTTTTATTTGCAGGATCTGGAAAATTTGTCAATCTAATGGTTAGTTATAGGCCTATTGTGTGTTTGCTCATTATTTTAAACAAACAAAAACTTGAGACGACAAAAAACAGCGACTTGAGACGTTTTATTTGCAGGATCTGGGAATTTTGTCAATCTAATGGTTAGTTATAGGCCTATTGTGTGTTTGCTCATTATTTTTAACAAAGTTAAATCGCCTTTTTTGTGCGCTCAGCCAATTAGATTGATTTCAAAAAATTTTGCAGCTATTGGTTTTTTCATGGTTTGATTCAGTTAATGGTATCGTATAAAAATTATTAGAGGATAATTCGTAGCTACTAGGTACAAATTTAAAATTTTGAATAAAAATTTTAATCATCTTTTGAAACCAAAACGTATAATTATGATAACTGAAATTGTAAAAAGAGCAAGCAACCTTTTGTATATGCAAAGGAGTGTAAAAAGAGAAGACGATTTTTCTACAGACTTTGTTAAAGTACATAAAATCTTCTCAGTATAAAAAATTTTGCTTCGAAATGCTCAATTAAATCAATTGCATCTGTTTGCAAATTCTCTATACTGACACTCGAAGCAGCTTTTTTCGATGAAAATGCGATTTCTATGTTACATTTCAAAAATGAATTTTCTAAAACCCAGAAATACTGTGTAGGAACTACTTTTTGTTTCGACCGTTGAAAATGAAGAAAATTTTTATATTTGGGTGAGTTTTTTTCCTTTTGTTGTCCAGGCAAAATCAGGTACCTCAAATAATCATCGGAATAGGTTGAGTGGTATAACAAATTAAAACCTTTTCAATCGTAGTTCGAAAAAAATTTTATATTTTCTAAAACATCTTCCAGTGTCGAGAAAAACCGGCTAAAGAGCTCGAGTTTTAGTCTAACTTCGATTAAGTAAAGCGATCAAGTAATATTTGATATGTATGAATATTTACCATTTAGGCTAAAACAAACTTGATTTGTTTACAGAAAAAGCCAGTTTGGAAACTTCATTAAGCAATTTCTCGGCCCTAAAAATCTTCATAAAAATTAAAATTTTCATGGAAAATAGTTCGGAAAAAAATCTACGCACAGCAACCGGCTACTCCAGATTTTTTTTGTTTTCCAGAAAAAAAAAAATAATATTCATCGGAGTGGGTCAAGTGATATATCATAATAAAGCCCTTTCAGTCGTGATTCGAATGATAAAAAAAATTTCGAATAAGGTCCTTGTATCGAGAAAAACTTTTTTATTATTATTTTTTTTCATTTTTATACTCATGTTTCCACAAAAAATTGTTTTCCAAGTTGTTTTCCTATGTTACTATGACTGTCTAATATGCTTATGTTCTGGCAAATTTTGGCATATTCGTTCTATAGGAGAAAGTTTGTGCGTTTTTTTGAGACTATGGTCGGAGCATTCTGTGCTGCTTGCACAGTACTGGCTATTCCTGCTAATTCCATGAATTTGCTGAAAACTTTAATCCCTTCGATATGGGAATTTTTTGACGAAGTTTAATAAAATGTGGACTTAAGTTAATTATGTTTTTTGGCATATTGTAGTTGAATAATGACTGATTTTCAATTAACAATGGTATTGCAACAAGTTACGTATTTTTATCCATTGTCAATCTATCTGTTGAGTGTGCAAATTTTGTGTGCAAATTGTTGGTGTTTGGATCTGTTGACATTTTTTTGTCAATAAAAAGTTCCGCTTTTTTCAAAATTGACTATTTCGCATGGGTTGAGTTTGTCAATTTAGTTTGTAAGATATAAATTTGTGTCAGAAGTAGAATGCAAAGTGGCTTTTCTTAAAATGGGAAATATTTTGCGTTTTTTACTATTTTTCTTATCTCGTAGCATACAGTCTGGTGCAATTGGTGCAACGTTTTGCTTTGCTGCTGATTTGAACAACATATTTTTAGGAAATTCTTCTTTGAACGATATATCATTCGCAGAATAAAGAAACTGAGAAAAAACCAAGATTAAGAATGGTTTTTGGAAGTGAAGAACTGCTGTTTTCGTTTTTTTCCTTTTTGGAGTAGCTGAACGTTGACAATTCAAAAGGATTTGAAAAACCCTGTTTTGTTTTGTATATTCAATCTCTCTGATAACTTCTAAAACAATGACTGACAAGAACATAAAAAATTGTTACGCCCACTATTTTGCTTTGTATGAAACAATTTTTTGTTATTCTTTGAAAATGGAGACAAAAACTTTTTGCTTTGAAAAGGCGGACAAAATTGGATCAAATTGACTCCAAAAAAGTTTGGCAAGTGTTCTGACAAAAGTTTTTCTGACAAAATTGTCAGAAAAAACTGACCAGAAAAAGTGTTTTTTAGGTTTAGTGTTTATCTAGTTTCTTTTTTGATACTGAAATGGAACTGAAATTCATACTCAATAGAAATATGGGACGCTTTTTATTGAAGTTTTTGGCATTAAAAAGATGAAAATTAAAACTTAAAGTTTGGATTTTTTTCTTTTCTTCATTTTTTTTGTTAATGTTCAATTTCAATTAATGTTTAAGCTCAAGATGTTCTGCTTCACACCTTAAATTCAATCATAAGTCTCAAATCTGCACATGATTTCTGAAAATAAAAAATCTTGATTCATTTCTTATTCATCTCGGTTGACTTTGTCACAGGTCGGGTCTTATTTGGCAGGTTGTTTTGAGTCTTAAGAGAGGGGAGTGTTGTTTTGTGAAACTGAATTCAATTAAATTTTCCAAAGAACTTAATTTGAATAAAAGTCTGAGTGGAACTTTTTCCCAGAGGACTTAGTAGAATTTTCTATCACTCTACCATGTTTCACTTTCAAATATAGGCGTACACTTGGTATCGCAAGTGATATGGGGCGACCTTTTGCTTCTTTAAAGAATACTGATTTCAGGGGCGGATCTAGGATTTTCTCGAGGGGGGCCGGATTTTCAAAAAAATTTCGAAAATTTTGACGACCTTGTTTTTCTTTTCAGGTCGACCAAATTGATTTTTCGAGCTCTCCCAAAGCACGGCTTTGTCCCAATTTTGGCCAAGTTTTTTGCGCCGCAGGCAAATTTTTGAAAAAACAGGTCAAAAAAGGCGTTTTTAGGCACTTTTTGGAAAATTTTGACCGAAAAATTGCGTTTTTTCGGCGCGCGGCCCCCCATCAAAATTAGTATATATTGGCGCCAAAGGCGCCTTTAGAAAAATTTTAGGGTCGGTCGGCCAAAAATGGATTTCTTAAAAAGTATCAAAGGGGGGACCCTTTGGGTCGGTAGGGGGTCGAATCCCTGAGGGAGGAAAAGAGCGTCCGCCCCCACCACCGCCCCCCCCTAAATCCGCCCCTGAGTGATTTCATTGTCGTTTTTGTTGGTGAATACTCAAGACCATTTATTCATGCAGGAGCAACTCACAGTCTGTTTTGATCTTTTTTTCTTTTTGGGTATGAGCAACTTTGCATTATTTTTTTCCAAAAATATGTCCACTCTCTCTAGTCATGATTGAAATTCATTTCAAGAAAATCAAAATTGGGTGAGATCACTGTGTAATTTATATCTAGTATATGAAGTCGTCTTCTCGTGTGAGTACTATAGTCTCTGGTATGCGACTGCCTTCTGGGACTCTATCTCGTGCATCTCTCCTGGTTCGTGGATGAGGTCTATCAAGTACTGTTTGGGGGGATATTTGGGACCCCCTGGGGGGATGTCATCCATCAGGGTGGCCACATTCCACGCTCTGTTGTAGGAGCCTCTATCCAGAGTAACAGGTAGCATGATACGGTCGGCCAGTGATTTGAACAGCAGAGCTCTGGAGGTTAAAAGATATACATGAGAATAATTCTAATAGTCTATGATCTGACATTCAACGATTTTTTTGCTCAAATTCGGAGATTATCGAGAATGTTGAGAAAATTTATCCAGAACACGTTTGCGTTACATGCAGACAACACGGCAAATTATTCAAGGCTATAAATAGTTAGTGCATCTACATTTTCGAGAATGCCAAACAAATTTAGGCGCATGTTCAATCCGTTGGAGTCTAATTACAGACAGTATTTTTTGCAGAATCAAATAGTCGCATTGTGAAAGCTTTTTTTTCGCCATCTTTAACCCTCCTTTGATTCCAGTGGAGCTCTCAATTGAGAACTGCAATGGAATCAAATGCGGGTTAACTTTAAACACCAATCCTTATTATCATATATAGGCCGAGCAATATGGATGACGTAAATTGAACCGACCTGTGGTAGTAAGTGCCGGTCTTGATGAGACCGATGGGAATGACATTAGTCTTAAGATCTGTCTTCAGTTTCGCCATGTGCAGTTTCACAGGGAAGTTGATCATGTCCTCACGCGACACCTAAGCAACACAGAGAATCGAAAAGCGAACAGAGAACAAAAAGCTTAAGAAACACTTTTTGATTCATTATTCACTTTAGTTGAAAAAATTATCTGTAAGCCTTTCATCGTTAACCATTTTAAATTGCTCAAACGACTTTTTGGAAAAGATCAGTTAGGGAAAAAAGTGATTATAGACAAATTCATCCGTTTAGTAATAAGACTAAGGTTTCTGATCTTACCTGTCCGCCCATTTTGTCACAAACAAGTCTGGCCAGTGCTTCGATCTGTTCTTTTGTCGTCTGCAGAGGAACTATCTCTGTTTTCACCTGAAGCGACAATTAGTCTGAAGATGTTTCGTCTTAGGATCTTTTTTCTATGATAGATCAATTACTGACTAATTTTTAGTAGTGCCTTGACTATTTTTAACCTGTTTGATGATGTTTTCCAGATTGTGGTCTTCTGGGGCGACAAAAGTGGATGCGACGTTGTCTGCGGTGTCTGCTTCACTGTCCAGAGTGGCCGCTGTTCCTCCCCCATCCCCTCTACTCCCCTTCTCGGAGTCTGTCTTGCTCTTACCCAACTGCTGTTTACCCTTGGCCGACTTTGGATTGCCACCCTGCTGTTAACAAAAACTGAGCTTTGTTTTCCACTTCCGATTTTCTGAGATAATCATAAATCTTTACAGTTTTTTAGCTATCATGCAACTGCCTGCAGCATACAAGATGATAAAGGTTACAGAAGCTGGTACAGGCTACAAACCTACAGTTTAGAAGCAGACATGAGTTACAGGCTCTATAAGCCAATCAGAGTAAAAAGTAAATCAATCATAATTTTAAATGTTGCTATCAAGGGCGGATCTAGGATGGGGGAATGTGTACAATTTTTTTTAAAGTTTGAAAAATTTGTCAACTTTTGTCGAATGGATGTTTTGAGCTTTCCGAAATCACTTTAAAAGACAATAGTTGACCAAATTTGTGCGCCGCAGGTGAATTCACATAATAAAAAAAAAACAGACCAAAAAAGACGTTTTGGAGGTTTTTGACCAAAGCTTTTTTTTGCCAACAGCGCTCCTTCAAGTTTACCATATATCGGCGCCAAATGCGCCCTTAGATAATTGTTAGGGTCTGTCAGCCAAAATAGATGTCTTAAAATAGTCTCTCTGAAAGATTTTGATCCATAGTTATGTAAAACCTTAAAGAAAAAAAACCGAGGTGAATTTTAATATTTTTGGTTTCGTTATATTTTACCCAAGCGTTAAGGCCAAAATAGGCCATCTGAATAAAAATTTAGGGTAAATTTTTTTATGTAATTTTACCCAAAACAATTTTTTCAGGTGTTTTTTAGGTTGTTCACCTTAATTTTTAGGGTACTCGGAGGAAAAAATTCGAAAAAAAATGTATATGTTTTTTTAGGTGTAGATAAGGTGGTACAACATTGCAATAAGACAATTTGAAGGTATTTCCACTTAGCTGCCCGCATCAGTAAAAAGAGAAAAAAATCGATTATTATAGAATTATACTTGTATTTTCATCAAAATTATATTTAATTATAAGATTATCTTTAAACGATTTATAATCCATTCTAATGACAAAATTTTACGTGTCATTATAATATTTTATAATCAGTTATAATTGATTATAAGTTTTCCTAAAATCTCTTATAATATCTTATAATCTATTTTAATCTCTTATTATCTCTTTCAATCTCTTATATTTAATTGAAATCTTTTATAATAGATTATAAAAAATTTTTTGTCAAAAGTCTCTAAAATTGAGATGTCCTGTCACTCTTTGGTTCATTTGAACACAGAAATTTACCACGAAACAAAAGTTTCATAGAGATCCTTTCATATTAGTTTAAAAAGATTCTTGCGGTAGGTGAAATATAACTCTTCTATAACAACCAGGAAACTAAAGCAGTGTGCTGATATTTTGCTGGTCAAAAAACTTAAAATGTGAATCATGAAACAACTATAATCGAGAAGATATGAAAAAAAAAACGTTATAAATTTGAATTGATTTGAAAACTGCTAAAACAATTTTCCCATTTTTCTCATAAGCCAAAGTTTACGAAAAGCATAAGAGATAAGGAATTCAGGTGGAAGGTCGAAGACAAAAGGGGCAAACAAAAAGGATTATAAACAATTATAATCGATTATAATGGATTTTTTCTGCAAATTTTTTTTTTGAAAATTGGATTAAAGTAATCGACTATAATCGATTATAATGTTTTATAATTGATCATATTTTATTTGAAAAAAAAAAGAGATTATAACCAATTATTAATTGATTAAATTTAGTTTTTTCTCAATTTTTGTGGTACTAAAATCATATTATAATCGATTATCAACGCTTGAAACTGGACGCGGGTGTCATTCTGTGAGCAGGCGGGTGCTCTTTTTTATGAAAATATAAAGAAGTTTGCAGGTTGTTTTCGGCTCGCCTCGTGTAATATACATTTTTCTGACAGTTTTTGTAAAACATTTAAATCGGTTTTACTGCGTGGCGAGTAGTCACTTATTGTTCCCACAGCATCATTGCCTCCATTAGAGCTCGTTGAGCATCGAATAATTTATCCAAGCTCGCTAAACAGTAACAAACAAGGGTTCAAAAACAAGAACTTATTTTAGCTGAAAGTGCCCTCTCCTTTTTTTTCAATTCTCAAATTGTTCAAGCCGAAAAATACATTACTATTCAATACACTTAGATCAATTCAACATTTCAGAAGCTATTTTAATCATTTTCTGAAACTGAATTGGTTATACTTTTAAAAACTGTCAAAATGTAAAATAAGGACAGGTAGAAGCTGTGCAAGTAGCATAGAAGGTTCCGACCGCAATAACAAAAATACTGAAAAAAAAAAAACAATTTCTGGAGAGATTTTGTTTTTGTTTGTGGTGAGATAAGACAATCTGGATGAAAATGTTGAACATGAGCATGTTCGATAGTGATAGTAAATTAACTTTTTCAACAACAATTTTTTCCAAAAAAAAACCAAAAATATAATAACGGAAAAAAATGGTTACTAATTCTTTTCAAATTTTTGAAAAACATTTTCTTAAATTTTCGATTTAAATTTTTCTTGTTCTCAAGAAGTAGCTTGAAGCTGCTTCAAATATTAACTGTACAGGAGTAAAATTAACTTATAACGGTTGAAGTTTTCGCTTATGGCTCTCTTTTAAGCCAACTCGCTGCTCTGTTTGCTAGAAATTAGACTTAGATCCAAAATATTAAGCAGTTTTTTCTAAAGATTTGGAAGTTTTTTGAAGCTTTCTAAATATCCTTCAATTTAGGATTAAAAGTATTTCAATATAATACATCTTTTGACCTATTCCGAAGATTATTTGTGGCACCCGGTTTTGTATGAAAAAAAAACGCATCCGAAGACAAAATTCCTCCCCAAATTTTCAGAGATCGGAACAAAAATTGACAATTGATTGTTATTCACTTGAAAATATGAGTACTTATTTTTGATTCTGTTAACCCGTATTAAGCGGCTTTTTTCGTCTTGTCCCCATCAGGTCTAGTACCAAAACGTACCTTGTCCCTGCCATTTAGGTATTTGGAGAGGGTACTTTAATTGCTAGGGGCTATAAGGAAAAAAAAGTAGAAATTTGAATATGATACTGACTATATTAATACCAAAGAACTTGAAAGTAGTTGTTTTATCCATCCAATTCAATCCAATTCAAAGTTTTTCCCCAATCTTCTTAACAAGTGACTACCTTCTTGCGTGAGTCAGCAGCAGCGGCCGCCTCCAGATTGCCACTCATTTCGCTAATGGCCCCTGTGTTCTCCTCTTTCCCGTAGTCCGACTGGTGGGGGTTGACTAGCAGTACTTCTCTCTTGTCGTCCACTGCTCGCTTGTAGAGGTTCTCCAGATTGTCCAACTCACTCTCCATCTAACACAGACCAAGAGAAACTTGAGTTATCTGAATCAAAGCAAACCACAGATAAGTTTGCGCGCGACTATGACATTACAAAAATCGAAGTGCGACTTTGTCTACTGGAACTCAAGAGATACTGTAAAAAGACAAGAATGCTCTGGCACATCAAAAAACTCTTTTCTATTATAGGATTAGCCTAAAGCCAGAAAAGTAATCACTGTAAACTCCAATGAACTTACTAAGAAATTGCTTAATGCGATGGCGAGAGGTTAAGTTTTGTACCTTGAGTGCACCTGCATCGTAGAAGAGTTTTCCGATGAGGTTGTTCACTCCCAGGTGTCCGAGGTAGGAGTACTTGCCCGGGAGGTAGTTGTCCAGCACCCGCTCCATCGCCAACTCAGAAAAGTTGCTCCTCCTCATAGTAGACTGGTTGATCTGCAACAGGTGAGTCACTGCACCTAGAAGCAGAGGGAAACAATCATGCGCAATGGGCTAATTTCATTCAAGTTGTCTGATTGGGGATCCTCTTCATGTATCATCGAGCAATTGAAGAAAAACTTTACTGATAAGAATGATATTTCCATCAAAATTCGTTTTAATCAAGCTGGTTTGAATCCAGATTTGAATGATGTCACTGCCGAAAAAAGACTATAAATTGTGCTCTGACCAGATACTGCGCTTCGAAAAATAGTCTGATCGCACCCACCTGCCCGACACAATTCCGAGGTGGTCTCGGTGTCTGCGGCTGCCACTGCCACTGCCCAGCACGCATTGCGTCTCGCCTCGTCGTTCCCAGACCCCAACATCTTCACCTAGAGAAGAAAAACAAGTGTTACTTCGGACAAAAATATAGCCGCTTCGTCGGCAAAGTTTGCACTACAGACGAAAAAAGTTACTATCAAACAACCTGTTGACTGAATCTGGTCAAAATCAATAACTGAAGGGAAATTGAGACCAAGAAAGTTAAGAGGTCTTTTCTGCTTTTTGAAAATTTTAGTGTTTATTGGCACCTGTTGTTTTTCAGAATTGAGTGAATGTATATCTTTTGAATGTGATGCAATGATTAGTTGATGAGTGTGGCTAACTAGACTGGTGATGGCACCACTGTCTCTCAGCTCCCTCCTGGCGTCTGCGTCATAGCAGAAGGAGGCCAGACACATGGCTGCCCTGGACTGCACTATGTTGCTCCTGGACTGCATGGGCACAGCCAGCGAACTCACCACTGTCAGCGCTTGCATCGAACTCCTGGGGAGACAAGAAAATTGAATAGATAAAATTGCTCAGATTGAAAAACTGATCACTAAACAGAGGTACAGTAAGTTTGACAGAGTGTTCATTTTTTGAAGAGCTTATCGAGCGATTCATTCATGTGTATGCAGAAAAAAAGTTGTAGCTTTAGCCATATTTGTCAGATGGAAAAGAAAGTCCTGAAGTTATGGCCTCGACTTGGTTGTTTGAAGGATGACCAATCAGCTCAAAAGAGTTATAATGATTGATGCAAGTTGTATAAAGTGTAATGTATCATGTATGGAAGGGCAATGTTAGTACCGTATGACTTCGTCTATGGCGAGGTTGGTGAGTGCAGTGGCCGCATTGGCCTGACACGCCTCCCTAGTGTCACTCAACAGATTGATCAGGGGATCCATCCCGTTCTTCTCAAAGATCTGAACCAATCAAAGTGATCTGAGCATATTTACATTTACTCTTTTACAGTTTCGCTTTTTACTCTGAAAATAACGACTGTATTTGGTCAGAATATTGTCTCTCCTATTGTTCTTAGCTTCATTGCCTCTTCAAAAAAGTTTGCGTAATATAAAATTAGTATGAGCATAGTTGTACCTCGTTGCAGTTGTACTGGTTGGAGGCGGTGAGGTTGGCCAGACAGAGACTGGCACTCTCTCGCAGCTCCTCGTTGTTGCTCTTGATCTGACTCAGCAGGGGGGAGATGCCCTCATTCCTGCCGATGAAATTTTTGCCTAGAAGAAAAGAGGAGCACGTTGACAACAAACAAGTATTTCATCGGAACAGGTTTGATACCAATAATTTTTTCACTGTTTTATACAGCGAATTTATCTTTTTAGGTATAGGAGGATAGTGTTTTAATTTTGAAAATCAAAATGTCAAAATGACTTGAAACCTCAAGCAGAGGAATTTGGAGTACTATTTTGAAACAAAAAATTGTAACCAGAAGTATTGGAAAACAATCAGAGCGAAAGACTTACATGTCAAGCTTTCGGCTAGTTGGCCCAACGCTTTTGCTGCTGAAGCTTTGACCTGTGCGTCATCTCCTTCGGTGAGCAGAGTAATCAGAACCTACAAAATGAAGGTACTAAGGCTCACTTGGCCTAATGTTAAATTGTATAAAATACTGTTGGGAGGGTTCCGACCTTTTCCATTTCTTGTTCGTGCATCACTCTTCTGTTGTCCTCGTTTTTGGCTGACCTTGAAATTGCAATACACGCATGCACTTTGACCTCTGGAGTCACGTCTTCGCCTTAAAGACACGCAAAGTCCAAATTCTGAATAGCTGGCAAGATGAGAACCTTCCAAACTCAAGTTTTTGAGGATTTTTAAAAGGTTCTTTATGAAAACTTCTTTTTGAAACTGTGAGAGTATAACAAATCGAGTTTTTAGGGAAAGTTTTGACCACATAGGAGATCCGGAAGTCAATATTTTTTCACAAGCTTATAATTTCAAACACCCACATGCTTATGAATGCCAATGGTAAATATGCAACTTTTGAATACAAAATGTGACCTGTGAGTAGTTCGTAGAACTTGTTCAGTCCTCCTGACTCGGCCAGCTGTTCCACCGTCTCCGGATCGAGAAGAAGGTTGGACAGCACCAGGAGTGCATTCACGTGCTGGTCCTGCCAGTCTTTGTTTCCCAGAAACTACAATCAAAATTGAAAAAGTGAAGGGCACTCATTGGCCCACAAATCAATGCTTCTATGTCGTCTAAATATTGTCATCGATAATGACATGAAGGGTTGAATTTGACTTAAGAATGTTTACAAAAATGTAGAAAACTTATGGAGTTTTTTCATACAGGAGCTGAATCCGTTTCGTAAAAATTTTGAGCTTAAACATACAAAATAAAAACAAATGATAAAATGGGGCACTGTTTATCTGACCTTGACAAAGTGATCCAGTGCATCCAGCTCCCTCAGACCGTCTCTATTCTCTATGTCCTGGGAGATCTTGGCCAGTGCCTCCAGAGACAACTGCTGGATCACCGGAAACTCACTCTTCGTCAGCTCCAAAATTGGCCCAATGCCTTCAAATCTGAAAGCAGAAAACAATAAACGGAAAGTCTCTTTTTCTAAAAAAGTTCAATGAAATCAAAATGAATCCAATTCCCATCCAATTGACAATCCTCTGATAAATAAGGTTGTTATTTTTGCTGAGTTCGTTTTTAGTGAAAAAATGAGTGTGGAAATAACTTGTGGCAAATTAATCAATCGCCGGGTCTTCTTATCAATATTTGGGCTTCGGAACCAAGTTTTTCTTGATTGACGCGCTCCAAAATTATTTTTAACTGATTTTGCGCGTGTTGCTGTAGAGTTGATTTAGATGGCATTTAAAAAGTGTTCTGAATGTAAGTGTGAACAAACAACATACTCACTGTCTGACTTGCGCCCTGCTCTGGTAGTCGTGCAGGAGGAGACTGATGGCCTCGATGGCATTCTTGTTCACGTCCGGGTCTGGTGACGTCAGCAAAAGAACTAATGGCTCCATCACTCCCTTCTCAATCAGTTGCACCTACATGCATATCCAACGGGTCACTTTTCAACTAACTTTGTAGTGTTTATAAGCGCTCCTCTTTCCAGAAACCCAACAGAGCCCCCTAGATTATAACTTGAGTGCAATTTTAACTTGGTTTACCAGCAAAATAAGAAAAAAGTTTTTTTTTGCGTGTGTATATTCATAACCTCAAGATGGATATCAAGTGATACTTTTTGGAGTGGTGGAACCCCTTTTCTCACAGACGGTTGCCTTAGGATAGAAGATATACTGTTGGATTGTTGAGGGGTGGGGTGGGGGGATGACTGGGCTGACCTTGTTCGTGTACTCTGTGGCCATGCTGGAGAAGAAGAGAGAGGCGAACTCGTTTGTGATTGGCTCCTCCTGCTCACTATCCAATAGTCTCATCACCACCTTAGTGCACTCCATCTCACGCATTGCACGCCTCACATCCACCTGCAACAGTAGTGCAAAAGTAGAATTATTAACTGTCACAGTAATACGAAATAACGCATTTATGATGGAGCACGCAACCTTTAAATGGTATGTTTGAAGTGGTTTGGCTCATTTGCAATATCACATATATCAGAAAAATGAAAAAAAAAAATGGATTTCATTGTTATTCACTGGGTGATCTTTAACCAAGTTTTGAAAAAAATCTATGAAAAAAAAACAAACGTTGTGAAGGAACAATTACATTTTTTCTAACCGCAACAGTTCTGTTGAAACTTTCTCTTTATCCTATCTACCTGACAGGAGAGTATTCCGAAAGCCATCATTGCATTCCTGTGGACTGCCTTGTCCTCGCTCTTCACCAGTGCGTATAGTGGCTCCAGTGCCCCGAACTGCATGATCTGCACCCTGTTCTCCTCCCCCTTCTCCGCAAACCGGTAGAGAGACTCACACGCTTTCAGCAGCACCTGCATACAAATGAATTGAACGTGAATAAACAATCACAAAAACAACCGCTTGCTGTGCAAATTGAAAGAAAAAAATATATACAAAATACTATAAAAACTACCCAAAATTGACAAAATAAGCAAAAAAATAAATAATTTTGGCATTTTTTCGTTTATTTTAAAAAAATTTTTTACTTTTCTTGAATGCCGGGTAAAAAGCGGTGACAGGTAGAGATTAAGAATGGGCAGCAGTTCTCATTTCTGAAACTGATTTCAAGGTTAAATTTCAGAAAAAAATTATTTCAGACGTTATTTCTTAATTTCGTTATTGTTTCTCTAGTAATTGAATTTAATAATCTTCAAAAAAATCGGCTGTTTGACTTCGGACATATTTTTTCGTAATTTAACCTCCTGTTCCGGTGAGTCCAGCATAAGTACAGCAGTCTTCGCATTCTTGGTCTCCACATTCACGGGGTCAAACACATCGGCCGCCGGCGCCTCCGTCTCCTTCTTCACCTTCTTACCCATTCTCACTCTCGCTAATTATTATGTTTCACTGATTTATAACAAAAAAGAGGAGAGAGGAGAAGTTTAAATATTCAGCAAAATCCCTGATAAATGGTACCAGCACAGAATGGTATGCGTATATGTTCGGATATTTACATGCACACGTTTTATCTGGTAAGAAAATAGTATGTTTTTATTGGACGCGGTGCGTTTATGTTGTGTTCGGTTAAAAATAAAAAGCAGCTGCAAAAATACAGTACATTACAATAGACATCTTGTCTTGATGGTTGAGTTTTTAAGTTTTAATTTTATGAATACACAATAGACGATGGTTCGCCTGGAGGATCTCAAATTGAAGAAAAATAATAAATTTGAAGCTCAAAACCTTGTAACAAAAATATAATCCTATGATGAGTAAATTTAGTGTTTTTGGCAGAAAGATCTGAAAAATCACGCCAGCTGTAATTCTTTTCATTGCCCTCAGTCCAAAATTCATTGTTTTTGATCTACAGTCGAAATTTTTTTTTAAATGGTGTTGCGAATCTTACTATTCGTCTTATTTCATTTAATTAGTTTTAAAGTTTCTTAACTGGTTAATTTAGATATGACCTTGTTATCTTCATTCTCTCCGACGGAGAGAATGATCGCTTACTTTTTAATGTTTTAATTTAGAGATTAATTCACTTTTTGAACATATCTTATTTGTAACTAAGTAGAATTATCCGTAACAAAGAAACATTTTAACATGGCGCAGTCAAACAGCAACGAATCAAACGTGAGAGGTATACCTTCATTTTGGCAAAACCACACAGTGGACCCACCAATCCCTTGGGAAGAGTGGAGCGATCTATTCCAGCTAGCAATAATCGCAAAAGAGAATATCGATATCGAAAATCTCTTGAATCCATCGGAACGATATTATCCACTTCCCCCAACATTGGAAAATCCGCCGGAAAATGAATCCGACGCTCAAAAAACATCTCGCATCGAGAGGAATATTCGAGAACAAAAGAGATTCGATGATGAAGAAATGGCCTCAATAAAGTCAGAAACCAAGAAATTCAACGGCATGAGACTTGAAGAGGCGGACAAAAAACTCAGATCCATACTCTATCTAGCCCTCGGAAACGAAGGAAAGAAAATATTCGGCCAAAAGTTTACGAGAGTTAAAGTTCTACAAATTTCTTTCAAAGAATTTTGGGAAAATTTGTCCGTAGCTTTTGTGAGAAAGACAAACATAACCTTCGAAAGACACAAGCTATTAAACAGAAAACAGAGGGACAGAGAATCATTAGAACAATTCTGGGGGGCACTTGCAGAAATGGCGAAAAGATGTAACATTCCCACAGGAGAAGACGAATGGATTCGAGATATTTTTATCAATAACATGAAGAACTCGGACATCCAACGGGAACTTCTCACGGAAACCCTTCCTCCACTAGAAGCCTTAAATGTAGCCCTGATTGACGAAAAAGGAATAACAAACCACATCAAAATGACGAGTACTTTTAAATCCAACGGATATTCCTCCAACAAATCTTTTAATCATTTTAATGTAAAAAGAGAACCCACCCTAAACATCGAAAGAACCAACACATGTATGAAATGCGGCGGAAATTTTACAAAAGGACATCTAGCGGTTTGCCCCGCTAAAGATACGACTTGTACGACTTGTAAATATCGAGGACATTTTACTAGACTCTGTAAATCACGCCGTAAAAATGTAAATATTGTGGATAGTCAAATTGTAAATAATACAAACCATAATTATCCTTCGGAACAACCGGATGTATATATCGACCACGCCAATAGAGAATGCTGTGGAGTAATCAACGCATGGTCGGAGTCCGGACAGAGCGATAACGATGATTACTCTGTATTAAACGTAACAACTATCTACGACGATCAAGGAAAGGAACTGAAGAAATTACTAAACATCGGCTTAGGAAATGAAAACCAAGTAATTCTCAATATACAGGTGGACTCAGCAAGCCCTGTAAGCTTCCTTAAGCAGAACGTGTTACACGAGTTGAAGTTACGAGACCCTTATGTGAAAATTTATCCAGTGGATAAAGCGACTAAAGAACTCTATTGCGGATTTACGAACAACGCAATAAATATCACTGGAGAGGTAATCGTCCCAATTTTCTCAAATGGATGGTCTCACAAGGAATGCCACTTCTTCTTAACTCAAGGTCATGAAAGAAACATCTTGGGAAACAACAATTTACCAAAAAACGGAACTGAAGTTTCACAAAAACAATTCACAACACTCACGAACAAGAGAACTTGTAAGTCTATCAATTCAGTTACCTCACATGACAGAGATAATGAAATAGAAATGATTTCCAAAACTTTCAAACAATTATTCCTTCGGATTGGAAAGATAACACATCAAACAAAAATAACACACTTTCACGATTCTCTAAAGCCAATTCAACTAAAAGGCAGGAGGGTCCCTTTACACTTACTGGATTCAGTAAAATCAGAATTATACAGACTTAAATCCGAAGGACACATCAAAAAATTAGAAAAATGTGACGAGGACAGATTTATTAGTCCGATAGTTATCACTTGTAAAAAAGACAAATCGATAAAGCTAGCTCTAGATTCAAAATTTATCAACAAACAAATTTACAAGAACAAATATCAGATGCCCAATATACACGAGTTAGTGGATAACGTAGCGGCTCAAATTTCAAACAACTCCGCCGGAGAAGTATGGTTTACAAATCTAGACTTAAAGAACGCATATAGTCAACTCTCGCTAGACAACTTTACTAGCAGCCAATGCAATTTTAGCCTAGTTGGCGGAGATATAACAGGCACTTATCAATTTTTAACCGGTTTTTACGGACTCGGCGATATGCCAAACGAGTTTCAAAGAGTCATGGACTCAACTCTGGGAAATATTCCTTTCACTAATTGTTACCTTGACGACATATTAGTCGCTTCCAAAGGAAGTTTTAACGATCACAAGAAAATTGTTTATAAAATTTTATCAACGCTAGATAGTTACAATTTCGCAGTAAAATGGTCGAAATGCAAATTCTTCCAAAAAGAAATCGAATGGCTCGGCTTTAAAATATCGAAAACCGGAATCGCCCCACTTTTCGATAAAACCAAGGCAATCAAAGATATTCCAATTCCAAAGAATCTAAAAGAATTAAGATCATTCTTCGGGTCAACTAATCAGTACATTAAATTTGTACCAAATTTAGCATCCCTCGGAAGCCCGCTTAGACCTCTTCTAAACAAGAAGTCAATTTTCCTTTGGAATGAAGATCACTCAAAAGCATTCGATAAGATTAAATCAGAAATAGTAAATCTTACTGAAAACACACACTTCGACGTAAAAAAGTCCACGAGAGTAAAAACCGATGCTTCACACAATGGGATAGGTGCATCCCTCGAACAACTCCATGAAAACGTTTGGAAAACAGTGTCATTTGCTTCAAGATTTTTAAATCCTCATGAATCCAAATATTCAACAAACGAATGAGAGTTATTAGGAGTTGTATGGGCGGTGGAACATTACAAAAATTATCTTTACGGTTCCGAATTCGAAATTATTACCGACCACAAAGCTCTCCTTTCCGCTCTGTCACCTAATCACGGAAACAAAACGTACCATAGCCGATTGACAAGATGGGTAGATCGTCTTCTACCATTCAATTTTACTATCAAGCATTTAGCGGGAAAAGATATGGGTTTTACCGATCTAATTTCAAGAAATCCTTCGGGTAAAGCAATTCCCCCATCCCATTACGACGAAGAATTCGTAGTTGCAACTACCGAAAAAATATATAATGCACTCAATCCTTTGGATAATGAAAATCCATTACGTAATTCAATTAATTCAATTTCGGAAAATTCCCAGTACACAAAATTACGAAATCACGTAATAATTACAGCATTGAATTTCGTCAATTCTTCCATCTCAATCTGCAATCAAAAACACTATAGAACAGAATTTTGTAACTCTAAATGTATTCCCTCGGATTTCTCAAGCACAGATTCTACTAAAATCCTTCTATCAAATTCAGCCTTTATTCATTTTTCAATTATTAACAGTAGCTTAATTAGTAATCCTTCGGATTTCAAACTTATAAATAGTGTAAATATGTCAAATAACCAAATTGTAGTAAATCCTTCCACTTCCGGGATACAGGTCTCTATTGATTTCCAAATTTCCTCAGAGCACAAAAAGTTAGTAACTAAATTTCGAGAAAACCTCAAGTTACCTGAAAGACCTTTGGATTTAAATACTTTATTCAATGCAAAGTTGGTTGCTTTATTAACGGAAGATGATGAGATGTTAAACCCAATTGTGAAAGCTTTACAGAAAAAAGTAGAAAACATCAACGCAAATTCCCGTTACTTACACCAATTTTCGAAAGACCTCCATGAATCCGACGGACTATTATATATGGATGGAAAATTGGTTATTCCGTTTACACTTAGAAACGCCGTTTTAAAAACTTTACACGAATCGCACCCTGGCCAATTCGGTATGAAATACCTGGCACAATATATTTGGTGGCCACATATAAACCGACAAATTTATTTCCACGGGATTAATTGCACACAATGCACTCAAACTGGTAAGAATATAAAAAGCATCATACCAACTACACAAATTAGCGAACTCCCCACTTTATTTGAACCAAATGAGGAATTAAACCTTGATTTTGCCGGTCCATTAGATAACAACTGGGGAAACAATAAATACATCTTATTATGTATAGATCGTTTTTCAAAATTCCCATCAGCAAAAATTACTTCTTCAACGTCATTAAACACGGTAATCGAATTCCTTCAAGATTATTTCTATCTCCATGGGATTCCTAACTCCATTCGTGTTGACCACGCATCCTGTTTTACTAGTCAGGATTTTAAATTGTTTTGCAATTCTCTTAATATCAAATTAATATTTTGTACAGTTGGGGATCATCGTTCTAACGGTCTTGTAGAAAAACTTGTTCATACTGTAAAAATCAAATTATTAGCAATGTCTTTGGAACAACAAAAACCTACATTACAAATTGCCATTTCGAAAATCATTTGGAAATTACGATCTTCCTTCCAATCAAAAATAAAATGCTCACCGTTCGAAATACACTTTAATAGAAAACCGAACACGATCTGGAAGCAATTGGCATCTAATAAATTATCCGGTGGATTTTTAGACAAAGGGAAGTCGATCTTAAGCAGAGAAAGGGCCCTTGACTGGAATGCTGACGA